CAGTCGCATACACATAAATGGTTTTTCAGTCATTCTCGTTTGTTCCATGTAATATTTTATTTAATAATTCGTTTTATTACGTCCACTCTTGAGCTGTGATCTCTTACACTTACACACGTCGCCTTTCGACCTCTGTGTTATCGAATCGTTGTTACTGTGTGCTCACAGAGCAGTCTCGTCTTGTCTAATAGTACTACGATCCGTCCATCCGGTCTCCGTCCACGTTAGGATTACAAAGTTCTCTCTGCTCAGCACCTAGTTTTGTTTATTTTAAAAAAATAATTCAGTACAGGTTTTACGGCGCTCGCAGCTGCATAAGGCCACATGAGTGCCAGAAGACCAGAGGTGTTACAAGAGAGTAACAAACATAAAAAAGAAGAAGGGGAGATAAGGACGATAGATGTTTGATAGGAAAGAAGGAGCAACAAAAGGATTCCAAAGTTCTCTCTGCTCAGCACCTAGTTTTGAGAAATTTGACATAAAAATTTCTGAGTTTCACGTACAGCATGTAAAGATTTTTCGAATGCAATTCTACTATGAATATCTTGATCACGACTTCGAAAAGCATGATTACGATTTTGATAGAGCAAACATTATACCATAATTTGGTTTCTGACCTCATGTGTTGATAACTCAAAACGGTCGAAAGTGTCAGATAGAACTTTGTAATTTGGAGGTAGCGAGGTATCAGAGTTTGAGAGCTTAGACAATACTGTCTGTTTATTTGTGATCCTCCAAAACATACATGTAATCCTAGAAGAGATCACACGGCATGGGACATTCTTTTTTTTTGGCGGGGGGTATGTGTTTTACAGCGTTCGCAACTGCATGATATGAGCGCGCGGGACACTCTAAACATTTTCAGTTAGTAGGAAATTTTGAATTTTGCCCGGGTGGCGGCCGAAGCCTACTCTTGCCGATTTTTTTAAGAGCTCCGAAGGATCTTAACGTGCGCAACTTGCTCACGGGACCTCCGAGATTTTTCGCCCATGTCAGAGAAGGCTAGGTGTAGATCTTACCTACAAAAAGATCAGGGGTGTGGCTGAAAGACAGCAGTAAGAAGGAGCCAAGGAGAAGCAGTAGAAAGGCTTCAGAAAGAGGAGCCCAGAGGAGGGGGGCAAAGGAGGTGAGGGGGAGGTGTGGGGGCAGAAAGAGGAGACGAAAGGAGACGACAAAACATTGCTAGAGAGTAAGAAATGAGGTGAAAGGAGACAATTTTATTGAAGAAATATTTTCCGTCGCTACCCGGGACCTTTAAATGAGAGATGAACACCTTAACCTCTTGGCCACGAGAGCCCCCGGGAAGTTCTTGAAGATGAGAGTGAATAATAAAAAGGAGAAAAAGCTGCAAGTCCTGAGTAAGACGTGACTAAGGTTATACACGAGGCAGGTGAGTTTTACGGCACTTGCAACACAATAAGGTCATACAAGTGCCGAAGATTAGAAGTGCTACAAGAGAGTAACAAACATAAAAAGAGAAGCAGGAGAGGTCAGGACGATAGATGTTCGATAGGAAAGAAGAAGCAAACCACACCAGAGTAAAGTGAGAACTTTGAAGTTGGAGAAAATTCAAAAACTGACAACAGATGTCTCCCAGATGATAACTGCTGTCAAACGTGTCTGACCAGAGAGTTTTGGCATGACTTTAGTTAAGTACCCCCATGCCATATATGTGTGTCGGTACCGAATCTTTATCAAAATACATGTAAGCCTACTCACGAGTATGAAGTGTAGTTGGCCTAGTTTAAGTTATAAGCTCTTGGCCTTTCTACACAACATGATAACAGCTCGAGACATGATTCTCAAAATTGGGTGTATATTGTTGTTCCATATTGATCGCCGGCCTTTCTGTAGAGATAGGTGCATTTGCTGATAATATAATTTATATTTATTATATTATTACATTATAGAACGTGTGGGTACCGGTATGCTTTTAAAAATATAATTTGATTGAGGTTAACCTCCATCAACACGATTTAGATTATTTAAGAGGCGGGCTTCCGACCCAGGCTCTGAGGGCGAACCTGAGTAGAGAGGGATACAACATACAGACAGAACGACCAAGATACTCGATACTTCTCCCCGTTTGGATCTCTCCCGTGCGACAGCGAAGTGCCTTACTGTTGCATCGCAGAAGCCGGTATTTTGCATAGAGTATAGATCTAGCTAGATAGACATGTTATCTGATATGGAAGGTTGAAGCAAACAGCATTCTGGTCCTGTAGTGTACTCTATGGGAACGTTTAACATACATATTATACAATCGATGCAATCCAACGATTAACAACACGCTCGTTGATCGAAGGTCCAGGGGATTCTTTCTCAAAATCCATAGAAAAGCTTAGTATGGATCAGGGGGCTCTCGTGGCCTAGAGGTTAAGGTGTTAAATTTGTCTCCTTTCACTTTCTTTCCTGCTCTCTTGCAATGTTCTGTCGTCTTATTTCGCTCCACTTTCTGCCCAACCCCCTCATCTGGACTCCTGACTCTTTCTGCAGCCTTTCTTCTGCTACTCCTTGGCTCCTTTTTACTGCTGTCTTTCAGCAAAACTTCTGCTTTATCTCAAGGTAGGCAAGATCTACACCTAGCCTTCTCGGACAAGGGCAAAAAATCTTGGAGGTCCCGCTGGTGGTCAAAAATCGATAAGAGTAGGCTTCGGCCGCTTCCAGGGTAAAATTCAAAATTTCAAATCAACTGAAAATGTTGAATGTGTCCCACGTGCTCATATGACCTTATGCAGTTGCGAGCGCCTCCCCCAAATTGAATAAAAAAATAAGTATAGGTCTTACTTGTCCACTGTGTTGGGGTCACCGCAGTCGGAACATGTCCATCTCTGCTCTCCCCCTCCCCCCCCTCTTCAGGATCCATCCCAGAGTTTGTCTACTTATAGTCTCTTGAACATTGAGAGGCGAACATTGTATACGTCTACAAACTACAAACTGAGAGAAACACATCCGGAGAACTGACACCAAGAATGGAAAGGCTACCTACCGGGCTAAACTAATACATGTAATAATATAGTTAAGTTTTAGTTTTAGTAAGTGTTTTACGGCACTTGCAACACAATAAAGTCATGTAAGTATAAGTGCCGAAGATTTGAGATGTTACAAGAGAGTAACATTCAAACACAAAAAAGGAGGGGAGATAGAGATGATAGATTTTTTATAGGAAAGAAGGAGCAAACCAAACCAGAGCACCCGCCACCCACCCACTCTCTCTGCAGATTAGAGGCGTTATAAGAGTACCAAACACACAAAAGAAGGAGGAGAGCTCAGGATGATAGCTAGATGTTTGATAGGATAGAAGGAGCAAATCACACCAGAGCACCAGCCAACCATCCACTTTCAAAGTTCTTACAAAAAGATACATAAACAACGAACGTAACTGAGCTCGCAGTAACATAAAGTAATCTTTATTGTAAGATAAATATACAATTTATATTGTTACACAAAAGAAGTGTACATGTCCAGTGTTACGAGGTGTCAGTCTTTGTTCTGATGCAAACTGGGCAAGTGTAATAACACAAACTCTTGAGAACTCATGTGAACTCGACACATCACGCAAAAAACGCTCTTAAAAAAAAAAGACTCTTTCATCTCTTGCATTACCACAAAGACAATGACCAGAAACATTCACAGTATCTGTCTCACCACACCACATTCCCACAACTGGGCCACATTGCAATAGAAGGTGCAAACTCTTTTTTTTTTTCGACCAAGGTCGGTCACCACACGCTTACCAAGCCAGCGTCTCTGATACTGATATGCCGTAGAACAGTGACCCTTACACATGAGCTCAACTCAAGCTGTAAAAATGGAGAGTAACTTTAATTAAAAAAAAAAAATCAATGGACACTTTTGCCAGGACAAGCTCCCATCAAACAACAAGCTGACCATATATATATAACATAACACAAACTGTACCACTCTCACCCCACAAAATACAACCATTCGTGAGATCAAAACACAAAAATCCCCGCACACACTTCATTCTGACAGAGTACTGTGGACACAAAGTTCTTCCTAAGCAGGGGTCCATTGATAAGGCAGCTGAAACAAATGGCAAACGACAAGCATCCTTACGAAAACTTGTCAAAATAAAAGTCTTACCTAACCTTATTATATACAGACCGTATACAATAGCGATCAAATAAATTTAAATCATTTAGCTGACTAAATCGAAACACAAATATACAAAAATGCAAATATAAAAATGAAAGAAAGCGGAAACAGACGAGCGCAACAGCTGAAACAAAGGATAGAGATATAGGCAATGGTTGATACAGGAGGGACCATCAACAGAAACCAAGCAAGCTATCAATCTAAGAAGAGCCTAGAGTCCCACCAAAAGTAATAACTAACAAAACACACCCCCAAGCCTCTCTCTAAGAATACCACAGCAGCCACCAGTGCTCTTGAAAAGCTTCTACCCATGTTCACACAGTACCGCAGCGACGAAAATACCAACATGGAACAATTGTTGATTGTTTCAGGAAGCAACATCCCAGCATTCCGGACACGTCCGTGGACGCTCCGCTGCTCTCTCCAAAATGCAACAACAAACAGGGAACAAACATGGTGGAAGTCACAGGAAATCAGTATTGGTCAAGAGTGGCAACACCAATTATCACATTCGACACAGGACGCAACTGCCACAACAAGCGGCCAGACTTTGGTCGGAAGAAATGAGAACAGCCGTGGCCGTTCAGTCTTCTTATCATCATAATTATCACAAGGAACTAAATACGACAAAACATACTGCAGTTAAAACAAAACAAACAAACTCTGCTAAATGAAACAACACTTCATTCATGTCACACTGCCCTGATAGCATACAAAGAAAGAAAAGAGTATTTGACTACAACTTCCAGGAAATAAAAACGGGGAAAAAAAAAATTTACAGAACAAATAGTCTAGGGATAAAAAAGGACAGTGGAATGAACCAAATGAATTAGATAAAGGAGAAAAGCAAAGAGAAAAAAAAGAATGTGAAAAAGAGTTTACAGGTTTAAGTGTGAAGTCTGCATAGATTAATCCAATCCAGAATTGCCAGATGGGGGCAACAGACCAGCCAGCCAGATGTGGACACTCTGTGTGCTGGTCTTAGCTACCTCAACAAGTCAAAGCCAATCTTAACAGACACAGCCCAAGGGGATGCCCTGACCAAATCCATGTCATCTCATCTCATAAACACCTCATATATTGTAAAATCATTCACCCCTTTCTTACCACCTTGGAATAAATCTGAGAAAAAATTGAGGTTGTCCCCTCACAACGCACTAAGCTATTTAAAGAAACAAACGTGGAAGGCCAAAGCAATACAGGACATTTCATTAATGAGGGGGAGGTAATGAGAGAATCAACAGAGGGGAGGGGGATCAGGTAGGAATGAGGGAAACGGACAACACAGGAGACCATGCTATCAAGAGAGAGAAAGAGAGAGAGAGAGAGAGAGAGAGAGAGAGAGAGAGAGAGAGAGAGAGAGAAAGAGAGAGAAAGAGATGGAGAGATAGTAAAAGTAGTATGAACTTGACATTCATTATAAATAAGGCAATGGAGTTCGCAGCAATGAAAGAGCGCAAGCACTAGGTGTAACGTAGTGACTGCACATGATATCAACAGAGTAACTTTTGCATCTTTTTATGAGCGGAAAACGAGGCGAGTCCCTGTAGTATTGACCCCTGACCCCCCCCCCATCCTTGATGGACAGAAAGTAGTTCCTGGAAGATTCAACTTTGAACACTCTTTATTGTCTTTTAAACACTCTTTATTATCTTTTAAACACTCTTTATACCTTTATAAACACTCTTGCGTATTTGCAACCTTCTGTGTACCGTACTTTAAAAAAGAAGCAAAAGCTGAATACGTCATTTTGTCTTGTTTCTTCTGTTATAATTGAATAAATAACACTCTCAAGGCGAAAAAAAAAAAAGCACAATGACATGGTTTTCTTTGATTCTTAGTTCGAAAAGAGCTTGAGTCCGAGCACCTTGATAACTGTTTGTGGGAAGAATGGATGTGTCAGCAAAATCTGTTGGTTCTAGGTGGCAATCAGTTTCAGTTCTGTTTGAACGTCCGGCCCCTGAAACAACAAAAATTGAAATAAGAATTATCTGGTACTGGTAGGTTCCACTGGGGCGTCACAGAAATTTAAAAAAGGCATTATAGTAGTTCATGACAAAGTAGTGACTACTTGGCAGCTCTGCCACAGCAAAATATTTCCTTCAACAAGGGCAGAAATAGAAATCAATTTTTAAAAATTTCCAGAGTTCCAATTCATTTTCCAAATTGCATGACAGCAAAGGTACATGCGAGTCAATATATGAAAGCACATATTTGTTTTAGTAAAAGCTTTACGGCTCTTGCAACACAATGAGGTCATATAAGTTCCAAAGATTAGAGGTGTTACAAGAGAGTAACAAACACAAAAAAGGAGGAGGAGAGATAAGGACGATAGATGTTTCAAAGAAAAGAAGGAGCAGACCACACCAGAGCACCTGCCAACCACCCACATGCACATATTCATTATATATAATATGTATGTAAGTACAAATGTGGTATATTTAAGGGTTTGTGCAAGTGAACAGTGTAAAAAAAAGGAGAGATGTGTGATTGTATGCACCACTGTTGCCCTATACAGAAATGTTCCTGAGCTCAAATTCTTGATATTTTAACCCTATCCGTACGTCGTGTTTTACTATCGTATCCATACGACGTGGGGAACTCTGTGCCACCACTTTCCAAAGAGGAAATTTACTCGTTAATCCGATCCGTACGCTTTGCATAGCAGTCTGTCAAAATGATTTTTTGAGAAATACTGAAAGTTTCAAAGGGATCTTCGTATTAGAAGTATTCTAAAATGTGAAGAATACAACCTTGGGGGTACAAAATGACCCCAGGGCGTTCGGATAGGGTCAATGTTGGTTCCCTTGCACATTAGGACTGCCGATTCTGGTGATTTTGCTTTTGTTATTGTTTCTTGTCTTGCTAAGACAAAACGAGTTTTTGTTTTGTCTTAGTAGAGGTTTTAAGGCGCTCACAACTGCATAAGGTCATATGAGCGCAAAGGGGTGGATGTCAACAGAGAAGTCCTTACAGGGAATCAGACTTACTCTGCTCACCTCTCTAGCTTCAACAGCACAAAGTCTGCTTTGACTATCAAGGCACCCCAGAAGTAGTGGGTCACAAGAGAGTGACAAACATACGAAAGAAGTAGAGGAAAAATGACGATGGTAAGGAATAGGAAAGAAAAAGCAGCAGTTCCCTGTTGAAGTTCAGGTACAGTTAGAGCATGACATTGATGAATCAGCCCACTTACAATTGCAATTGTACTGTGCATAAGAACTCGAGATGTTAATGTCTCCCCCCCTTTGGGAATGGCCTAAAGACACTTCAGTCAGTAGCACCGCCCCGGTGGGTAAAGTGAAAAGGCAACGGTGTTAAGTAAATACTGTTGATGGGGTTATTAAACACCGACAGCAATATTCATTTAAAAAAAAAAGAAAAAAAAAAAAGGATATCATATCAGCTAAAACACTAAAAGATAGGAATGACGAAAAACTTACGTGATGGTTCTCTTTTCTTTATCCTTCACCTCTGGTCTCGCTCGGTTCAACACTTTCAGAAAGTCGGAGGTTTTAGCTCTCATACTTTGATGAATGTACGCCTGTGAATAAAAAAACCCCAAAACAACCCAGTCATGAAAATATTCTGATCAGGAAAGGATTCCTCATATGTGGCCAAAAAAGACACGAAGAGACAAGAGGTACGTGATTAGCTATGTCAGTTTTAGTAGCAGTTTTAAGGCACTTGCAACACAATAAGGTCATATAAGTGCCGAAGAGTAGAGGTGTTACAAGAGAGTAACAAACACAAAAGAGAAGGAGGAGAGATAGAGACGATAGATTTTGTATAAGAAAGAAGGAGCAAACCACACCACAGCACCTAGCTATGTCAGTTATTACAAATCGTCATTGTGTGCGCATGTATTATACAGTAAAACCTGTCCAAGATGACCACACATCACCGAGGAGCAAAAAGGCCAGGAAAGACAGTTTTAGTAAGTGCGCACACAATAAGGTCATATCAGTGCCGAAGATTAGAGGGGTTACAAGAGAGTAACAAACATAAAAAAGGAGGAGGACAGATCAGGACGATAGATGTTAGGAAGGAAAGAAGAAGCAAACCACACCAGAGCACCAGCCAACCACCCACCACGTAAGACAGGTTGTCCTCATGGACACAATGTCATTATATATGGATATATATCAATGTTTTTTTTGTAATTTAAAAAGAAAAAAAAAAAGAAGAGAGAAGTGGGGCTAGTTCATTACCAGTATCTTTGTTTTTGTAGTGTTTTACGGCGCTCGCAACTTCAACTGCATAAGGTCATATGAGCGTGCGGAACACACCTAATATTTTTCAGTTGGTAGGAAATTTTGAATTTTGCCCGGGTGGCGGCCGAAGCCTACACTTATCCATTTTAGACCACCAAGGGATCTTTAACGTGCGCAACTTGCACACGGGACCTCCGAGATTTTTCGCCCTTGTCCGAGAAGGCTAGGTGTAGATCTTTCCTACCAGAAGATCAGGGGTGTGGCAGAAAGACAGCACTAAGTAGAAGCCAAGGAGTAGCAGTAGAAAGAATCAGGAGCCCAGAGGAAGGGGCAAAGGAGGTGAGGGGGTGGGGGCAGAAAGAGGAAATGAAAGCAGACGACAGAACATTGCTAGAGAGCAGGAAAGGAGGTGAAAGGAGACAAATTTTTTCGGTCGCTACCCGGATTCGAACCTGGGACCTTTGAATGAGAGGCGAACACCTTAACCTCTAGGCCACGAGAGCCCCCATGTACAGAGTATAAAGTAACCTGTGCAACAACTGTAAAAAAAACCAACAACCCAAAAAAACCCCCACCCAACTTGTAATAGGAAGTGAATTACACCTCCCCTAAAAAGCAGAGAAACTTTTCAACTTGCATTGGCCATATTGTACATATGCCATCAGAGATGTGAGAAATAGGAGGGACCCCCCCCCTCCCAAAAAAAAAGAAGTCCAATGTGAAAATAAAATCATAATAGTTGAGACTTAAGGAAAAGATTGCTACAGTGGACAACTGTCCTTTCTGATACAAGAGGCAATTCCTCTTTTAGTTTTAGTAAGAGTTTTACGGCACTTGCAACACAAGAAGGTTACAGAAGTGCCGAAGAATAGATGTGTTACAAAAGAGTAGCATACACAAAAAAGAAGGAGAGAGAAGGACGATAGATGTTTGACAGGAAAGAAGAAGAAAACCACACACCCGCCAAGCACCCACAGGCAATTCACTCCTGTGCAGGACACAACTGACGGTATGTGTTGTCCACTGATCTCACCTTGGAACATTTTATATGGTAATGCAAGTAGTCCCTCAGCATGTGGATGAGGTTGATCGTGTTGTCACGTGCCTTTTTGTTGGTGTGTCTTGGAAACAGAACTGGAAGGAGACAAAATAAATCACACATCACACGAGAAAGTTTAGTTTTAGTAAAGAGTTTTACAGCACTTGCAACACAATACGGTCACATAAGTGCCACAGATTAGAGGTGTTACAAGAGAGTAACAAACACAAAAAAGAAGGAGGGGAGATAAATACGATGGATGTTTGATAGGAAAGAAGCAGCAAACCACATCAGAGCACCCACCAACCACCCACATATGGGAAAGGAACTAACAATCAGACCAAGAAAGGAAGGGAAACTGACAAAGGCAGAACATATAGAATCTTTAGTTTAATTTTAGTATGAGTTATTATTATTTATACGGCACTTGCAACACAAACAGGTCATACGAACCATGAGGTTCCATTGATAAATGTACTTGTAAACAGAGCTTCCGGCTTAATAATATAATAATTGCAATTTTATATAAGACATTCTAGCTGCCACGGGAAACCAATGCAACGTTATTAACATGGGAGAAATGTGATCCCTCTTCTTTTTCTTTAACTTAACATTAGTAATTACGGAAATTTTTTATTTCCTATTTTTAAGAATAATTTTTTTTAGCACAATTTTTTCCATTTGCGGATATCTGCAAATTTGCAGAAAACTGGAAGCACTGTTGTAATGGTAGTTTGAAAACATAATTTTCACGCGGAACTGCAAAAATTTCCACAGTTTAAGCGTGTTCTGATTAAAGACATTGCTCAAATAGCCAGGAAAAAATATTAGCATTGGGGATCCTATTTAATTGAGTTCGGTTTATGTGGACTCCGCTGTACTATTAAGTCCTCTACTATACACATTCTTTTTCTTTTCTTTTAGTAAGAGTTTTACAGCACTTGCAACACAATAAGGTCATATAAGTGCTGAAGATTAGAGGTGTTACAAGAGAGTAACAAACATAAAAAAGAAAAAGGACAGATAAGGACGATAGATGTCAGATAGGAAAGAAAGAGCAAACCACACCAGAGCACCCGCCAACCACCCACATACATCTTCAGTTTTTGCTTGCATCTTTACAATACCCCTCATCATCATACTATGACCAAAAAACTGGCTTGGGTAAGCAGACATAAAGAGCCAGTCAAGACGATCACCCACCGAATGTGATGTAGCCAATGTTGTCACCAGTGCGGGCGTTGGTGTCTTGCAACTCCTGTGGGGGCTCTTTATGACTGAACAACACCTGCGGTGCCTGCTGGTACTTTCTCCGGCCCTCCTTGAACTCCTGTTCCACACAAACAAACCAGTTGTTAGAGTAGAAAGAACACTTTTTAGTTTTAGTTATTGTTTTACGGCACTTGCAACACACTAAGGTCATATAAGTGCCGAATATTAGAGGTGTTACAAGAGAGTAACAAACACGAAAAAGAAGGAGGGTAGATAAAGACGATAGATGTTTGATAGGAAAGAAAGAGAGAACACTTAGTGCCAAAAACAAGACAGAAATGAATTTTGGAAGCAGATCAATTTTGTGATGGCGACGATTAGCACAAGCTTTTTTTATTGAAAGAGAAGTCTTGACTCACAAAAGAAATGAGCTAGTTCCAACTGAACATTACTAAAAATAGAGATCCCAATAAGACATGGATCGTAACACTCAGATAATTTATATTCATCAAATGCACATAAAAGGCATAAGGTTTTGAGAGTTCTATTTACTAATTTATTTTTCAACTTATGTTATCATGAAAACATCTGGAAATTCACAGGTAAACCATGCGTCTGTGCGGATACTTCTGAAATTCGGAAACACTTTGCACCCCTCTTTCTAAATCCTTAAATATGAGCTGTTTCCTGCTTTACGTAGTATGAACTTCCACAATAAAATTACAACAGGAAAATTGTACCGGGTACTGATTTAAATAGTTTCAATGCACTATGTGTGTCATATAGCACAAAATATTTACTTCATAATTGGACAGAAAGGGCAGTAACTTGTTCATATCTAACGGCAGACGAAATATCTTCAAGAAATATCACCTGTCAAACCACTTCAGTTCATTCAGTAATGGTGGTGGGGGGAGAGGGGGCTGCTTTAGTTTAGTTTTAGTAGAGGTTTTACGGCGCTTCAAACCGTATAAGGTCATATGAGCGCCAAAAGATTAGAGGTGTTACAAGAGAGTAACAAACATAGAAAAAAAATAAGGGGAGAAAAGGAAGATAAATGTGGGGCCCTGCTTAAAACTATTGGAAAAGACTATTGGTTTCAATTGTGCACTGACCTGCATAAATACTTTTCCTATGACAATATCATCATCGTCTTTGAAGATGGTGCTGAAGATCACAGTAACTCTGTCCTTCTTGGCTTCCACGTACCTGTCCAAGGAATGAAATACGAATATGAATGTTGTTGTTAGCGATCCAGTAGCATCCGAGCATTAACTCTTCTGCATGATGCCATTCTGTAATTGTTTCAAGTTGGTACCATCTATTTTGAAAGGGATTTCTGCATTTGCAAGGTAATAGCTTCTTGTAAAAACAGAGTAGACATTTTTTTTCGCAATTTACTTTCATCTTCCATAAACGCCAATAGGCGTTTAAGGAATTTAGATCATCTTGTAGTCTTCGTCTGCTTATTGTAGGGGGCCAAAGGACATGAATCAGAATTACAAATTCAACCTTACTTCAAAACATTGTAGATATCAGAGGATAATGTGCTCAAATTTTTCACTGAGCTGATGAACTACAAGAACAAGTATTGCTAATTTACTTTCATACATCTTCAAATATCTCAGACAGGATAGTACGGCTCAAAACAATATCTCAAAACCGAATAAATAATATGTGAGGCATCGTGGTGGAATCAGGCTCTCGTCAATTTTTGGGCATTTAGAGTTATTGGTATCATCTTAAAGCTTGTTCACTTGTCTTTATCTGGATTTTAAAAATATCCATTTATCTTGAATACAAGTCGAGATATTTTCGAATGAAGGAGGTGGGGGTCACTTGTTATCACTGAAAATAAATGAGAAAATGGCTGCGAAAGATTAGTTATTTCCTTAACGTAAGAGTCCATGGTAACTGAAAATTTACATTTTTTGTGCCTTTAATCAATGTTTTTCAGAAAAATCCACACAGAAATGAGTTTTTTAAAGGGCATGAAAGGTGTTGAGCCAAAAAACAAAAATTTTATAAAAATTCACAAAACTGCAGAAAAATGAAAGTTTCTTCACCTTGATTATTTTGACGAGAGCCTGATTCCACCACGCTGCCTCACATATGTATTCTCAACTGAATAACTTTTGAGTAAAAAAATCACACTAGTACGAGAATGTTAGGGAAATGGGAAACAATATTTGTTGTGGTACTTTTCTCATTCCAGAAAGCTCTAGGCCGTTTGTTGTCATTAACAGGTCCTTGAAAACCCCTTTCAGAATCAATATTTGTCTACTTTGGGGACAAATAACATCTTTTCTAGACATATTAAAAAAATATTTAAAAATCCCAAGAAAAAATTCACATACTGAAAATGCAGTTAATTTGTTTGTATCCACCCCCCCCCCCCAAGAAAAAAAAAGCATTGTGAATTTTGCCATAGGCTTAAAAATAAAGGAAGACCACTGCGAGCATTTTGTTCGCTTGTAAACTGATACTTAAGCTGTTTGGTTTGAGGTGTTTTCTAAAACCATAACTGAAGTAGAATCCAACCCCCCCCCCCCAGGCTGTTCACAAAGAAATCTTGAAAAAAAAAAAAAAAATCTTCCTGCAGCAGGTGCTCCACTCACATGGTCTCATCATCACGATAGTTGATCACGGCTCGAGTGTCTCCCTCCAGTCCATTCTCTTGGAACTGAAAGTACTTCTCAAACACAGAGGCGAAACAGTTCCTCTTGAGATGACTGGCTTTGCTCACCAGCTCCTGCCAGTTGTCAGGGATGTTTTCCAAGTCAAACAAAAGTGACACATTGTATCCTGCGAGATGAAATTTTTTTGTTTTAGTAGAGGTTTTACGGCACTCGCAACTGCATATGGTCATATGAGTGCCAGAAGATTAGCGGTATTACAAGAGAGTAACAAACAGAAAAAAGAAGAAGGGGAGATAAGGACGAAAGATGTTTGAAAGGAAAGAAGAAGCAAACCTCATCAGAGCACCTGCCAACCACCCATAGATTGAATTTTTAAAAATACAACAATTGAGTGCTGAAAGCACGACCATGCACACATGTAGAAGCAGACAATGGATTAAAACATAAAACATGTCTTCTTTACTTAAGAATTTAAAGTGTAAAAGGTTTCTGCATCTCCATTAACACAATTTACATAATTTAAAGGGTTGTTCTTACCTTTGTAGAAAATGAAGCCACAAAAAGTTATAATATATGAATCCTTTCACTTAACAATGTTTTCCATCTCAACAACTTCTGAACTTACAGCTTAGGAAAACAAAATGTCTTTTTTTCTTTTTATAGTCGAGGGTTTTACGGCGCTCGCAACTGCATAAGGTCATATGAGCGCCAGAAGATTAGAGGTGTTACAAGAGAATAACAAACATAAAAAAGAAGGGGAGATAAGGACGATAGATGTTTGATAGGAAAGAAGAAGCAGACCACACCAGAGCACCCGCCAACCACCCGAAATGTCTAAGGGCTCAACTTCTGGGCAAGAAATAAGAAAAATCAACAGCCAGCATGAATACAGCAACTACTCAAACAAGAGACAATAATAATAGATAGCATTTGTATAGCGCAAATCCCCGCTCAACAGCAAGCTCTATGCGCTTCACAATCTATACTATTACCCCAGCAGACCCGAGAGCATTCTGAAACAAACTCAACTTTCGGGGAAGCATACAGTGCAAGTAGCCATTTATAGGCGCTAAAACACTAGAATATTGACAAGATCTTTCCCTGTCTATGGCCGGGTACCCATTTCAACCTGGGTGAAGTGAGGAAAATTCGTGTAAAGTGCCTTTCCCAAGGACACAACATCGGGCCCGCAGCTCGAACCCCCGACTACGAGTCCGGTAGCCTAATCACTAGGCCACCGACGCCACAATCCTCTCTGCTCTCTTACCTGCTTCAGGACTTGTGAGAATGGAACCATATTCACGCTTGATTAGCTGGAGACAAAACAAAAAGTAAAGGATCATAGTTTATTATATGGAGTGCAAAAATGTACATAAAAGGAGGACTGGGATAAAAACCCTGGCGACAAAAGGCTTAATTTCTATACAACTGCGAATGACTCCAAACAAAATACCCCCTCGCCCCCCTGTGAGAATGGAACCCTATTCACGCTTGATCAGCTGGAGACAAAAAAAAGTAAAGGAGCATAGTTAATTGGTCGCTTTTAAGCACAAGGGGGCTATCTCGAAAAATGCTGTTTTAAGAAAATCGAAGGTGAAGTTTTTGTCCCGTGTTTAGTTTCTTTAAAAGACAAGGAGAATTTCTCTATAACCAAACAAATATATACACCAAAGAAACCAAACTTCTCCTATAGGTAGGGCAATGCCCATTTTTGGTGTAGGTCAAGATTTAAGGAAACTCCCGAAATCTGGGTTAGTCTGCTTGTCCTTAAAAGCGACTTATTATATGGAGTACAAAAATGTATATAACAGGAGGACTGGGATAAAAACCCTGGTGACAATAAAATGTTAAAAGGCTGAATTTCTATACAACTGCGAATGACTCAAACAAAATACCCCCCCCCCCACACACACAATCCAAGTACTTAGTAAAACCAAGACCATAAACACCCATTATACATGTTCATATTTGCCTTCCTTTCTGTAAGTGAAAGAAAAATCTGAGTACAGGCCACAAGTAGTCTACTTTTTAACAAGCACACAGTGTTAATTACCTTAGCCAAAAGCCACTCTTTAATCTAGAGTTGAGACAAAATTTGACTGTTGCATCTAGCCTTGGCAGACCCCATGCTATTTCGAATTTCAGTTATAAATTCGTTTTGAAATGACCCAACACATAGGCCTAGTAAGAACCTCGAAGCTTTTTGTCATCTTCTACAGAGACAAATCCTTCCGTCCAATCAATCTACAAAATAATCAGAACTAAGAAAACCGAGCGAAACATCCCCAGTCTTCCATCACTCAAGCTCCATTAACCCATCCGAATACTACAGCACTTTGAATAAGTAATGCGGACCATTTTTTTTGTATGCTAAAGAGCCTCCTTATTGTATTTACATAGTATCATACCTCGTACTGATTTCCCCACTCATCCTAAGGTGTAGTGAGATAAAAAAAAAAGATTGTGGGAAGCTAGTAACATGCTCTCCGTAAAATAATTTTCTACCAAATGCTGTAATCAGCTTCAATAAGAATAAAAGAAAGTGGTAGTTCTCTTTCCCTTTCACAACAAGAAAAAATTTCTCACCTCGTCAGCACCATGCTGCTGAAGCTCCACATAGAATTTCAAGGAGATGCTGATCTGAAAAAACCAAAAACAAAACAAAAACACACAGGCTTAAGAAACATTCTAGAAATTGTTGAAGAGAATAGGGGTTTCGGTTGTCTTGGACAGTTTTATTATAACATTTAAAAAAAGAGTAAGGGAGAAGTGGGAAGTGGTCTTTTGTACAAGTAATTGTCTTGTACAGGTGGTCGTTAGAGCAGGTTCGACTAGAAATTAAAACACTGCAAAAAGGAAGTCTGATTTTAATTTTTAAAAGAATTTAATAACTTTTTCATAAAGTATTTCAAAGATTGATAAAAAACCCCCAAACACATCATATTAACAAATAATGTCTTATGAGCAGTGAAAAGAGAATATACGTATAAGCGACTGACAGACTACAGATTATAATCACAGAAAAAAAAAGGGGGTATAATTCAGCCCTGGGCAGGATCTATTCATTCTCTCATACGCAATGTCATAACCAAACGATGACAATAGTCGATATCATGTTCTTTCTGTACCGGTGTGTATAACTGAAGCAGAATTTAAACTAAATAAAATAAAGATAACCCCATACTTTTCAGTTGAGACTAAAAAATATATAAGAAAGGAAGGATTTCAAGCAGGTCTATAGAGAACATTTTAAAGCACAACACACAGTGCGTCATACCAGAACATAATACATTTTTGTTTTTGTTATCTGTGCTCACTGAAAAAATGTTTGCCTTTTACACCAGAACTTGGACCTTTATTCAAAATGCTCTCTACTTTTACAACAAAGGAGCCAATGAAATCGCTGAACACTTTAAGAGGCTGAATGAAGTTGTACTGAATACTGTGACGAACATAGACCCCCAATGAGAGAGAGGGATGGACATGCTACTTACAAGAATTTTGCTTTTGTTGTCATCAGGATTTGACATGTGGAACAGAACTCCATCAAAATCTGAAAAAGAACAATTTTATGTTATGTACTACACATCTGCTAAAATATGGCCCAAAAATGAGTTTTAAAAAAAAGTACTGCAATGACTCATTCCAATGTCATAATACAACGGTGCTAACAGATGTGGGAATGGGCGGGGTAAAAAACACATACACTACCCACCCTTCCATACGTACACATGTATACACTCAAAAACACACAAAAACATACAGGGAAAATCGCATTTATTTTGCAAAAATAGAAAAGTGAACAAACACATAAACATATAATAATATGCACAGGCAGGATGAAATTTAATGGTTTAGATTTTAATACTAATGATTGATAGACTACTTGTTATTCGCACGTTCCAGAGCCTAATTAATTGTTGTCCAAAGTTGACGGGCTGTAATTTTGTGAAGCCAAAGGAACGTTCTGACCTCTTTTTTAATATATAATATCCATCAATGGTGTCTGACCGAGATGAGGGTGAAAGTGAACGTGAGAGTTTATTCATCCGACCCAGCGCTGATGCAGGAGTCTGGTGCTCATCAGCCCACTGCTAATCAGTGTGTGCATACGCAGACACACATCCACGTGTGCGCAATAAATTGTCCGCCAATGGGCCCTAGATTCTATTTCTTCCGCGCGTGAGAGGAAAGAGGTTGGGGTGAGTCTCGTGAGTAACGTGATCGGGCGTAGGCTTTCCGTCACTCAAAATAAAGCACGCGCGTCTGGACGATGTGGCTTCTAATATAATAGACGCCGCAGGGGAGGGGGAGGGCTGCAAGGGTGGAGTATGTGGACGGATTTGACTCTCTCTCTCTCTCT